TCTCGGGGAGCCCAACTCCACCTGGGCAGTGCCCGTGGGCAGTCCTCCGTGGCCTGGCAGGCCCAGCGTCCTTCTGGCTGGAGGTGGGAGCTGGTTAGGGGGCAGGCGATGTTTCCTGAGGGGCTAGAACAGGCCCAGCCCCGGCTGCCCCTCTGCCCACGATACGTTTACATCAGAAGCGGAGCAGTTTGTATGGGGCATGACCGTGAGATCATTAACAATTCGGAATAATACCATGTGACCTCACTCATTGATGGATAAGAAAGAACGTTATAACCTGACGAACAAAAAGATAGAGAGGCAGGGAAGCAGAGAACAGACTGTCAAGTTACAGCGGGAAGGCTGGGGAGTGTTGGGGGGTGGCTAAGAGATCAACCGAAGGACTTGTATGCATACATATAAGCACATACCCACACCCACATACACTGTTCTTGGCCAGCCCCGGGGACATTGATTGTTTTAAGGGTTATTTACTGTTAAGGCAACAATTCCAGATGTTCCTGGGGTTTCCGTAGCTCCACCCCCCCTCACGTCACATTCCCACACGATCGCAGGCTTCGCCGGTGTCCGTTGGATAGCTGTGGGATGCCTTCTCCTTCTGTTGGATATTGGTTCTTCCCAGATTGTCAGAGCCGAACTGCTTGCTGCCCGAGCATTGCTGGCAGGTAAAATCTTCCTGCGGTGTGTGTTTCCGGGACAGATTCCCACGAGGGTGATCACCGAGTCCAAGGCTATGACTTCGTCTCTGGTACCCGTTGCCCTCTGGCCCGATGTTCCGGTCCACGACGCTCTAGGGGCCAGGGGTGGCCACTCCCGTGTGAGACTTCCATCATCCTCATCCTCGGAGTGTTCCTGGACCCGGCAGAAAGCTGGGCCCTGTTGGTGTTCTCACTTGCACTTGACTAACCAAAAAGCATAAATTTCCCCCCAGGTTTGGCTATTATTTATGTTTACCCTCCCGTGGCCCATCAGCTGTGTCTGCTCTGGCCCTCGTGCGGAAACCCAGAGGGAGGCGTTCTGATGCTGTCGGTCTGTGTTGGAAATGGCTGGAGCCTTCAGCAGGGACCTGTCTATTCCAGGGATAACGGTCTCACCGTGGGCTGGGCGCCGTGACCAGCACTTTACAGATGTGTTAACCCATTGTGCAGATGGAAAACTGCAGGTTTAGTAACTGTGCTGGGTCACAGGGCTGATGAATAGCAAAGTGGGGCTTCCAGGTCTGCTTGACTCACAAAAGGGGGAGAGCGTCTCTCACTCAGCCCCTTGTTTCTGAGCCGAGTCTGCCTGTCTGCCTCCTGGGAGCAGAGCATGAGGTTCCGCCTCAGCTGGGACCGGGCCCCTCCCAGCCCTTCCCGCAGCGCTCTGCCGGCCAGGCCCACCCACCTCTCTGCAGACTGAGGAGGCGGTGAGGGCGGTTCCTTCAGGGACTGTGTGGCCAAGGTCTGGCGGAGGCGGGGCAGGTCGCAGGGCGATGGGGCTGTGACTTGTGTCCCCTTGGATTCCTCGAGTCAGGGACGGCCCAAGGACAGCCCTGAACTGCATCTCCTCACCCTAAAGCGCCTGATCTCCCCTCACTGCTCACCTGCTCGCGGCCTCGCAGTGACAAAACAGTGTCATCCACTCATTCTACAGGTTTTAGCGCCTCCTGCATGCCTGGCCCTTGCTGCCCCCTGGGTGGTGGGAGCCCTCTCCCCACCTGGGGCCCCCGCCTCTGTCACTCTCATTGATGCCCAGAGGCAGCGCACGTGGAAAGTTCTTCGGTGTGATTACACAGGCATCAGATGATTTCCGAGGATAAGCAGCGGGCTGTCTTCAGGCCAGGAAAATGTAAGCGAGTAGTTTCCAGTGGCCTCTCAGCAGGTGACGCTGTCAGGGCAGATCCAGGTCCCCAGACCTCCTGTGGCCTGGAGACAGGTGTTTGTGCTGCGCAGGCGCCACTCACTCGGGGCTCCTTGTGCATCAGAGACCCTCTCGCTGGCTGGGGACTGCTGCCCTCACACAGCCCGCCGAGTGGTCGGCTCCCAGAGGTGCCTGGTGACACGGAGGAGTGGGAGGTGCGGTCAGTGGTTTCTGGGGAGCTGTGCTGGGAGTGGGGCTGAGCGTGGTGCCTCCGTGAGCGCCAGCCAAGGCAGCACGAAGCCCTCCTGCCACGGCCCCATCATCGGTGTGATGGGGCGGCCACCGCTCGTAACCCAGAGGGATGTGGAGCAGCTGCTACAGCAGCCGAGTCTCGGAGACCAGGGGAAGCTTATGGATACAGATGAGAGCCACACACCGAGCTGAACGCTGTTCAATGGGCCAAGGCTGGTCTTCACATAGAAACAAGGAAACTGTCCAAGGAGAAGGAGAGGGGTTTTTCTCTTACAGTTCGGTTGCCCAGCAGGCAGCACAGGGCACTGGGGAGAGGGAGCCCAGGGCTGGACGTCAGCAGGTGAAAGAAGGGGGAGGGGGTGCCAGTGCTCCAGCTCCCGCCCCTCCCGTGCCCACTGAGTGCCCGCAGCCCAGTCAGTTCACAGCAGGGGAGCGGGGCGCAGTATCCCGGCCTAAGTCCAGCTGCCGTGAGGTCTGGCCCTCCTGCACCTGCCCACCATGTTCCCTGGGACCTTGGGGTAAGACTTAAACCTGGACAGCACCGGGGAGTGAGCCCAGAGGCCTTAGGGAGAGAAGGCACCCCCATTCACTACAGGAGACCCCATGGAAACCCCAATTAAGTTGGGAGCTATAGGTCAGCTGGGCGTCCTGCAGGCTGGGGGCGGCTGGGGCGGTAGGTTATCTTCAGCTCCACAGCAGGTGCCATAACTGGAGCACGCGCCTCTATTTTTGGCTCCGTCTCTGCGCCAAGCTTTGTTTGCCTGGCGGGAGGTGAGCCTGCTCCCGGAGGAGCCGTTAGTCTTCCTGAGGATGCCGTGTGGCTGCGGGGTCAGCCTCCTGTCCAGGAGGGGGCGCTGGTTCCATGGGCGTCCTCACAGCCTAGCATTGCTCACGCGCTTACTCTCCACCCTCCATGTGGCTGGCGGCTTTGACAATGTGCCCCGGCCTCCTAGCCAGCCGGGGGTCCTGGTGAGGGGTCCGCCACAGAAGATGCCCTCTAGGTTCGGGTTTGAGGGATGAGGTTTTTGCCCCTGCAGCTCTGGTAGAATGGAAGCCAGACCCCGTTTTTATATTGATATCTAGGGTACCCATCCCTGAGGCTACCCTTGCGCCCCTCTCTTGCGGGAGTTGCCGGAGAATCCCATGTGGTCACAGGGAGCCCGCTGCCCTCCACACCCCTGTGTTGGTCACAGGGCCACAGAGGGTCATGAAGGTCAAGATGATGCTGGTATTCCGGCTTGTGTTTTCCACCTGCCTGCCAGGTTTTCACCATTTATTATTTATCACCATCTGATTTTCCACCAGATTAGATCCTAACATGCCTTCCAGCGCCCCCCCCCCCAGTGGTGCCCAAGTCCTGTTACAGGGCCTGTGACTGTTATGTTATATGGCAAAGGGATCTTGAAGGTGTGATGAAGTTAGGATCTTGAGACGGGGAGATTATCCAGGTGGGCCCCACATAATCACAAAGGTCCTTATAAGAGGGAGGCAGGCAGGTCAGAGTCAGAGGGAGATATTGGGAGATGCTTCTCTGCTAGCTTTTAGGATGGAGGAAGGAATTCTGTGCCAAAAGCCAAGAAAGGCAGGCACCTCCACAACCCGGGCAGCCTGGGGGCCCCTCCTGAGAGCTGCTGAGTGCGCTAAATCCTGGCCTGGGGGGGGAGGGGCTCCTTTATGCCTGGAGTTGGCTCCGTCTGCACCCCGGTTTCAGCTGCTGCTATTCCTGCGTTAACACAGCTGCAAAATCTCTGTAGGGTTTTACCTCCGGCAATAGCTCGGCGTCTGCCAGGCTGCAGTTCTTGGTTCCTCTCAGATGTTCACTGTCGCTGAATTTTATTCCCAGTGGGAAGTGGGAACAGAGTGTCTATTTGGGTGATAAAAGCTCTAAATCCCCAAGGCCATAAGCTTGAGAACAGCAGGCCTTAGCAGCTTCATACGTACAAGCGTGTTCCTTGCTTTGTACTGAATCTGCCACCCAGGGCGTCCCCGTCAGCGGGGACAGTGGCGGTGGAAGCTGAGGAGCTAGCTCCTGGCCCATATGGGCACCTGCAGGTTTGCCCCTCAGAAAGCCCAGCTCGTTCAGTGCCATCCACTCTCTCCTCCAGCTTGAGGGCAGTCACACGAAGTCGTTCTGCTTGCATCTCTGAGTTTCATCCATTTGCCAGTGTGAGTTTGCTCCTCCTAAGTGCGCGATGCATGCTGCCTACGTCACTGACGGCACTGCCACCTGCTCGGGGCATGCTCAGGGCAGTGACTCAACCGTGGCCACCCACACACATCCTGCCCTCTGCGGGAAGAAGTCTATTCTTTCACAGCAGGCACCTTTTTAAAAAATGGTCGGACCTTGGGTTTCAGATTTCCTGTGTCTAAAAAAGGTTTCTTGCTGAGGATTTCCGAAACGAGGCATTTCAGACCCTGAGCAGCCTCCTGGTGGTCCCGCGCTCCACACTAAAGCAGCAGCAGGGCCTAGACCACCTTCCCACGGGACCCCCCGAGGCCCCACAGCTCTGGGACCACTTGGCTGCAGTGGGCCAGGACCTAGGGCACCCCAGACTCCCAGGAAAGGGCGCTTGAGGGCACTGGGCAGCTGAGAGGTGGTGGGGAGGCAAGCATCCACCTGGCAGGCGAGGCCCGGCAGCCTGGTGTGAAGGAAGTGGCTCTGGAGGCAGCCGACTAGCTGGTGGCCCGGGGCGTGACTTCACTTCTTTGGGCCTCAGTTACCTCTTCGGTCCCCCTTTACATCCCTTCCCACTACCCAAGAGGGCCTGTGCCCTCCCGGGAAGGCTGGGGACACCTCACCCTCAAAGGGGGGCGGGGGCTGGCACCATCTAGGGCACTCTCCTCCCTGGAGCCCGGCAGGCCCCTCATGCTGTATCAGTGATCACCATGGCAACTGTTTCTCTCTGCAGATGACTCTGGGGACGACGACGACGACGACGAGACTACCTCCCCAACGGACAAGAGCGAGCTCCAGAGCACCATCAAGAACCTCTCCCTGAAGCTCGATGACCTCAGCACGTGCAACGACCTCCTGGCCAAGCACGGCGCCGCGCTGACGCGCTCCCTGAACGAGCTGGACGGCCTGCGGATCCCCTACGACAGCAGCGAGAAGCTCAAGGCCGTCAACGAGCGGGCCACCCTCTTCCGCATCACGACCAATGCTATGATCAACGTGAGTGTCCCCCCCGCCCCGCCCCTCCCCGCCGTCCTGGCCGGGGGGCCCCCAGAGGCACGGCGCCTCCTGCACTCGGTCCCGTGTGTGACCTCATCCTCGCGGGGGGCGCTGGGCGAGGGCTTCCTCTTGTCCATGGAAACCCGGGTGGAGTCAGAAAGGAGAGGCTACACCGAGGGGGTGGCCCAGCCCAGGGAACATGGTCCAGGCAGGCCATCGGGCTGACCGGAGGCAGTGGGCAGTCCTGGTGCCAGGAGAGCCCCAGGTGGGGGTCCAGCCTCCAGAGCCGGGGAGGGGGGGCGGAGCAGGGGCGGAGTCAGGACCAGGCTCTCTGCCCGACACCAGGAAACCCAAGGTGGGGAGGATGGAGGCTGGAGTCCACCTCAGGCCAAGATCCCGGTGAGGCTGAGGTGGCCCGGGCCTCTCTGCTCCCGCCACACAGGCCTGGGGCTGAGGAGGTACCCCCTTTCCCAGAAACAGCCCCCAGGGCCTGGAGCTCAGCAGTGAGGACGCCACGTGCTCAGGGAGTGGTTGGGCTGCAGCCCTGGGGCTGCCTGTGCCGGCCCTGCCGTCAGTCTGCGCCTCAGTTTCCCTGTGACCACCTCTCAGCCCGCGGGATCCTCACTGCCCGGCTCTGGGGGCCCAGGCCCCGCATTCCCTGCGCACGGATTAAAATTTAATCCCTCAACAGTGCGCTCCTGTTTCCCCATCCACCCGGGAGCCCCCCGTCCCCCCCCCCCCCCCGAGGCGGAGGCCACTCTGTCTTGACTGTCCTGAGTAAGCAGTTTTGGTTTCCCCAGATAATGAGCCTCTCAGCTGGCGGCGCTAGCAGCTTTGCCAGGCACCAGGCTCGCCTGTGTGTGAGGCCGTCTGAGTGCAGAATGAGAGGTCCCGGAGGAACTCAGACCCGGGGGGGGGGGGCGGCGGTGACGCCCGCTTTCAACTCTGGCACCAGGAGTCAGAGGGGCCTGGGGGCTGCGCTCCGTGGGGGTCGAGGTGCACAGTGAGGTGCTGGTCTGAGAGGCCGTGCTGGTGTCCGCTCCCACTGAGCTGGGTCATGCACGTAGGAAAGAGACTGCCGCCACCCAGAGCCACAGGCGCACGTTCTCCAGAGGGCCAGGCAGGCAGCCACCCACACACACACACGTGTCCTGTCCGCCCCCCCACCCCCACTACTGCTGACCATCACCCTGTCTTCACCCTGTGTCTGTGCTCCCCGTCCCATGGGCTCTTCTACTGAGGCACCTTGGCAGGCCCTCCCTGCAAGGACAGGGCAGTCTCCCTCCAACCCCTGGAGCCTGGAGCGTCCGTGCCTGGCACCGGGCCCAGCAGGGGGAGCCTCAGCGAGAGAGCGAGGTTGTGAAAGACGCAGGAGCAAATGAATGAGCCGCTTAGTGTCTGGCAAATTCCCTTGCGGGTGATTTTGTCAGTCTGATCAAAGGCAGCCCAGCGGCTCCCTGGCTGGATTACTGTTTGGGTAACTGCAAATCAGCCTGTCTTTAGGAGGACGCTCCCAGCACCAGAAATGACTGGTCTGAGCCTGAACCGCCGTGACCTATGCACACACACGCCGCTGGCCTGGGAGCCGGGACCGGGGGCCTGGGAGCCGGGACGTGCTGATGGGGTACCATTGGGCCAGTCATGTGGTTTAGGTGGACAATGATGGAATGGATTCATTACCATCATGTGCTTTGGGTATCTTTTTTTTAAGTGAAAAAAGTAAATTCAAGTGTTAACTCTTTTCCCTGTGGTGAAGCAGTGCCCTGGCTTGGAGGACAGGCCTCCGGGACGGTGGGGGACCTTCCTTCCCATCACTGTGCTTTTCACGTCAGCCACATAAAGTCCGTGTCCTTAAGCTTCCTTGTCACCATCCTTTGTGCTATTCAGGTGCCCCCGAGGCCCAGAGCACTCAGTTTGCCCGAGGGTCACAGCCCTGGGTCCCTGGGTGATCCCCGGGGCTGTGCTCAAAGCCCAGGCCTGGCACACAGGCTCCTGGGTGGCCTGGGCTCCCCATGGCTTGCCCTTTTCTGGCCTGTGGGCCCTGCCCGGTCATTCCGGGGCCAGCCTGCCCTGGGGCGGTGTGTCTGTCCCCAGCCCCCGCCATGGGCCTGTGGAGGCAGGTTCTGAGGCCGGGGCTGAGCCCGGCCAGGAAAGTGCTGCTTCTGTGACTTTCACTTCCACTTCCCTGCCGCTGCGCCCTCGGGACCTCCTTAAGCCACTCACCACCCTTCCTCCTCCTCCTCCTCCCCCTCCTCTCAGCCAGAGGCACTGAGGACTGGTGGCAGGTGGTGGTGGTGGCTCCCGCAGTGCTGGGCCCATCACTGGGCTGGCTGCAGGTTCATTCCCCCAGCTGCTCCTCCGGCCCCGGGCCCCACAGCTGAACTGGAAGTCGGCCCCTCCAACCACATGACCCCGTGACTTCAGGTCAGCATGCGGCTGCTGGTGGACACAGGGGCATGGGAGGCCCTCCGTGGTCCAGCCAGGCCCTGTAACCACGGAGATGATGGGTGTGCTGGAGGTTAGACGACCTTAGGAGGGAACAACAGGCTGGTGGGATGGAACCAGAGGTCATGGAAGCAGCTGCCGGGTGGGGGGGGGGGGGGGCCTGGAGGCAGGGGGGGAAGAAGAGCCTGAACCAGGCAGGCTGGGGTGACTTGGAGGCAAGCCTGGGAAACAGGAACCCGGTCAGGAGACTGAGCATGTGGCCTGAGGGTGTTCTGCCTTTAGCAAAGGAAAGGGCACGAGCAGCCACTGCTGGAAGCCGGCTATTGTGAGGCAGAGGCAGGTAACAGGCCCACCTGGAGGTGCCTAAGGGTGAGAGGCAGCTTGGCTGGGGAAAGGGCTGGAGAAGCTGTGGCTGCTGCTGGGTGTTGAGGGAAGGGCCGGCGGAGGGGCTGTGGGTGAGAGAACAGGCCCGGAAAGGCCTGCAGGTGGGCATCTAGGCAGCTGGGAACAGGGGGACATGCTGGTCGGCCCCACAGGTTGGGCAGGCTGCAGGCGGGCCTTTCCCAGGTTTGTGCAGCCAGCTGGTGAGTGAAGGCCTGAGGCCAAGGACCGTCCAGGTGCCCAGTGGGGAGAAAGCAGCAGGGGTGCTGGCTAATGGGGAGGTGGCCACCAGGCCCACCCCAAGGGCCCGATGCCGCCCACACATCACCGAAGGCCCGGGAGGGTCACACTTCGCTGTGTGCAGTAGGGCTAGTTGGACGGGACAGGGTGCAGATCCTGACAGCAGGGACTTGGGAAAGTCTGGGCAGGAGTGGCTCCCAGCATAGCCAGGCTGGGAGGGGGCCGCAGAGCCAAGTGCAGCGGGGGAGGCAGAGGCCGGGGGTGGGAAAGGTGCAGGCCAGAGTGGGACACCGGGCTGACAGGGGCAGGGTGAGGGCAGGTGCAGAGGCAACAACTCAGGGCCAAGGCCCAGGTCCGGGGCATCAGAGGAATCCAGACCCAGGTCAGCAGGCGCTGTTGGCTGCTAGATACACCGAAGTTTCTCCCGTTTGGAGACCACGTGGGGCTCCTTGCGCCCAGCCAAGCGGAGCAGAGAGCCCCAGAGCCTCAGGGCCCCGCCTCGTCCTTCCGGGGCCCGTGGGAAGGTTCCTGCCCAGCTGACCACTCTCTGCTGCCGCAGAACTTGCTCGCTGGGTCCCAGGGAGAGGAGTAAAAATAGATTCTAGAACTGTCTAAACTGTTGGCAAACTGGTGGCCAGATGGTGCTGGATCCTGTGTGCGAGTGAGCTCTCTGAATGTGGGAAAGGCTATTTTAGAGTTTGGATCCCAGTGGAAGTTGCCTGCTGGTGCCAGGATTGAGTCCTCGGTGGTGGGAAGGGCAGGCTGGCCCCTGTGAGCACTGGGCACCTGCGCTGAGTGCCCTGTGAGTGGGCACAGGCAGATGGCCAGCCCGCCCTGGGAGCTGTTGGCCTCGAGGGCCCGGGAGGGCAGTGGATGTACAGGACGGTGGCCTGGCTGGTCCTGACCAGAGGGACCCCATCGCAGTTCAGCACTCGCATCCCAGCTTCAGGACCTCCTCTTGGCCTCGGGGGCCTGAGCTGACCCTGGTAGCATTGGGTCTCCCTGGCCCTGCTCGCCCGCCCACATTTGGGGAGCGGCGTGGCCACTGTCAGGATCAGGAACACACAAGCGATTAGCTTGTCCTCCTCCCTCCTGGGCACAGCCAAGGCTTCCCACTCAGCTCACCCAGCGTGGCTGGCCGTCTCCTCCGTGGCAGCTTCAGCCCCTCCCCTCTCAGGCCAGGCTCTGGGGAGATCCGGCCCAGCTGCTGCTGAGCAGGGCCTGCCCGTGTGGGGGCCGCCTTTCTGACCCGGCTCTTGGTTCTCACTCCCGCCCACCCCAGGGGTGGGAGCCCACAGCTCTCCATGGCAGGGACCTCTCGGTGGCCTCGGGCGGGAGGAAGGCGAGCACCCTGGCGGTGATAGAGTCGGGTTTCAGCCATCTGTCCCCTGAGGACTCCAAGGCCGAGGTCACAGTCCTGTGAGGGGCCCAGATGCTGGGCCCCTTATTCCGCCTGCTCCCTGCCCCATGCATGGTTCAGAAGCAGTGTGGTGTGGGCAGGGCCAGGCAGGAGCCCTCTGACAGTTGTGGCAGAGTCTCAGGGGACATGTGACTGTGGGTTCAGAGCCTGGACCAGCCAGGCCTTCCCTGGATCCCCAGCAGCCCCCCTGCCGGGCCCCAGCCTAATCCAGCTTAGTGGGCAAACAGCAGTGCACAGCCCAACTCAGCATTCCCGGGCGGGGCGGGGCCAGGCCAGCGCCTGCCTCTGTGCTGCGGCCAGCATGGGCGAAGGGTGGCAGTGTGAGAGGAAGCCCTGGGCGTTGGGGACGGACACAGGTAGGTGCACTGGGCTCCCCACAGCCCCAGGGACTGGAGCAGCTCAACAGTACCGCCCCCCTCCCCGGTCCAGCTCTGTGAGCCTTAGACACTGTGGGGCAGCCCAGCCCTGCCCCTCCGGAGGCAGCTGTGGCGTTCCAATCTGTATCCCGCCCGAACGAGACCACAGCTGTCCTAGGCGTCTCACTCCTGCCCCCTGCTCCTCACCAGCCTGTCCTGCAGCGGCAGCGAGGTGGAAGTCACCACGGCAGGCAGTGTCCCCAGCACAGGGACAGGTGCTGGAGGCCGGCAGGGCTGAGTCCTGGTGCTTACACAGGGTCACTCCCTGACATCATTGCTCGTGAGCCTCTCCGGGGCCCGCTGTGTGAGCTCCGAGCCCAGCGCACTGTCTGTGGAATGGGGGGGGGGGGGGTCCCTCTTCCACCCGCCGGTGCGGACCCAGCCGGGAGGTCCTTCTAGCTGGGGTGGGGTCACTGGGTCTGCATGCGGGGAAGGGATGGGGCCTGGGGGCGAGGGGGCGGCCACTGCAGGACCCAGTGATAAAGGCAGGGGCAGGGAGCCAGGCCTCCCTCCAGGGTGCCCACATTGCAGGGGCCTGTGAGTGCCCTCCACCGGAGCAGGGCGCCCTCTAGACCCGTTATTTGCAAACTCAAAATAGCCCCCGACTTGTGAGGACCCAGCCCGGCCGCAGGCTCTCCTGTGCCCAGAGCCGTTAAGCGTAAGGAGATTGCTTTCCTTCCCCAAGGCCTCCAGCCAGCCTGTGCCCCGACACCTGCCGGGTAAATCCCGGCCTCTGGAGAAGCGGGTTATGGGGGCTTAGGGGGGCCACGTGGCCAGCACCGTGACCTCTCGGAGGGAGGGGAAGCCCTGGACCTGAAGGGGCCCCGGGGTCTTGCAGAGGAGCCGCTGGGACTGAGCCTCTGGTTCCTGGGATGATCCCTCCGCCCCCGGAGGATGCTGCGGGAGCCGGAGCACAGGGTCTGGCGGACACCGTTCTCACAGGGGACGCCACCGGGAGGGGACGCCACTAGAGCAGGGCCCCGGGGCAGCCCAGGAGGCAGCAGAGGTGCGAGGGGCAGACAGGCCTGTCCTCCCTGCCCGCGGGCGATGGGGACGGGCTCACACGCTGCGCCTCAGGCCTGCAGGGACTTCCTGGCCCTCGCGGAGGCTCACAGCCGGAAATGGCAGCGGGCGCTGCAGTATGAGCAGGAGCAGCGCATCCACCTGGAGGAGACCATCGAGCAGCTGGCCAAACAGCACAACAGCCTCGAGCGCGCCTTCCGCAACAGCCTGTCGGGCCGCGCCCCGGACCCCAGCAGGAGCTTCAGCCACGGTGAGCGCTGGCCGCCTCCGTCCGCGTCCCCGCGCCCGCTGGGCTCGCCCGGGCCTCTGGCGGGCCTCTCCCTGGCTTCGTGCCCCGTGCGGCCATCACCTGGCAGCAGTCTCCTTGTTCTGGGTTCAGTGACCACTCTGTCCCCTCGGTGCCAGGGCTGCAGGCGGCCGCCTGAGGCCAGGAGTCCTGGGAAGGGCAGAGAGGGCAGCTAGGCCGCCCGGCTGACCAGCATGTGGAAGGATGGGAGGGGTGCGGGGGCTCTGGATGGAAGGAGGCTTCTGAGCCGGAGCAGTGACGGGCAGTCACTTTCTGGAGAGCAGAGTGAGGGCAGCCACGGCCAGGCTCATGGGGACCAGGCGCCCAAGCTGGGAGGGCTGGGGGTCGGGGGGTAGGGGGGACAGGATCAGAGCTTGGGGTGCAGCGTCCTGCAGGCCCTGGGCCCCTCGGGGGGTGAGACCAGGGGGGTGAGACGAAGCTGTGAGGCTGCGAATGATGCAGCAGCTCCGTGCGCCCCTAGGGAGCGTCTTGTCCAAGGGAGAGGACAGCGAGGAAGATGAGGATACGGAGTATTTTGACGCCATGGAAGACTCCACCGCCTTCATCACTGTGATCTCCGAGGCCAAGGAGGACAGGTGGGCTCTCCGGCCGCTGCTTTCAGGCCCGTGCCGGATGGCACTGCGGCTTAGACTGGTTCTGTGCTCCTTCAATCAGAAAGGCCCCCGTTTGTATCAGGGCTTTGCTTTCAGTGGGCCCAGAGAGCAGGCACTCGCTGGCTGGACCTAGGTCCGGCCTGGGGAGGGCGAGAGCGGGGACCCTGCGGCCTCGCCTGGTCCTGGGTCAGCCAGGCGCCTCGGGAGGGCTTTGCTGAGCATCTGCTGCCTCAGCCTCAGAGCGGGAGCCCTCCACATCCCGCCCGGGGTCCCGCGCCCCCCCCCCCCACTTGAGCATCCTGAACTGAGAGGCGCCCCATGGGAAGGAAGCCCTGGTGGACTGCCCCTCAGATCTCCCTGGAGGGCTGCAGAGGTGGTGGCCAGGTCCCAGGAGGCCTCGGGATTTGTCAGTAACCGCCTCCCATCATGTTTCCTGCAGGAAAACTGAGTGCGGCACCACAGGCCCTGCGGACTGGACCCCGGCGGACGATGTGAGTGAGGGGGGGCCGGGAGGGGGGGAGGGAGGCAGCACTGGAGCGCGGGCCCAGGGGCGGGCCCCGGGGCCTGCTGCCTCCGGTCCCGCCAGCAGCTGGTCCTCAGACTCCCCGGGTCAGAGGTGAGGACGAGGCCCGGGGGGCCCTGTGCTCTGGCCGCTGACGCGCACTCTGCTTCTCGGGCAGGTCCTGGATGGCGCCTCACTCACGCCCAAGGGCCCCCCCAGAGTGAAGAGGCGTGCCCGCATCCCCGACAAGCCCAACTACAGCCTTAACCTCTGGAGCATCATGAAGAACTGCATTGGCCGCGAGCTCTCCAAGATCCCCATGCCGGTAGGCGCCGGCCGGGACCCGTGCTGTCCTGGCACCACCGCCATCCCCACAGCAGAGGGCTCCGCCGGAGGGAGGGCCTCTGGGTCAGACTGGGGCCCCCAGTGTCGCTGCACCTGATGGGCCTTACGATGTCCTGACCCGTCGGCAGGCCTGGCAGGCTCGGGCTGTGAGTGTGGAGGGAGCCCTCCTGTGCCAGGAGCTGTCCCTGGCCCGCCCCAGCGAGGTCACACCGCAGGCTCAGGGCTCGGGCTGGCACCCCAGACAAGTCCCTTCACATCTCCAGCCTCCGTGTCCATATCTGCAAAGGGGGGGAATACCAGCACCCCCTTCTGAGTGTCAGTAAGACCCTGCCCACCCAGGTCACAGCCCAGCACCACAGCGGGTGGGCACTCTCAGCAGGAAACTCGCAGAATGGCTCAACAGCTCAGAATCTGAGCGAGACCAGACCCGCTTTGTCCCTCACTTCCCATTCCCATGGCTGTGAACAGGCAGAGCCCTGGCCCTGCCATGCTGGTGGGAGAGTGAGAGTCAGGCGTGGTGAGGGCCGAGGAGGAAACGAAGCGGGGTGCGGGGGGCGAGCAGGTGGGCCTGGTGTTGGACGGTCGTCAGAGGCCCTCCCTGAGGTGCCATCTGAGAAAGGCCGGGGCGCTCAGCTGGGCCCCGCCTGACCCCCGTGACCCCCGCCTCCCGCAGGTCAACTTCAACGAGCCCCTGTCCATGCTCCAGCGGCTGACGGAGGACCTGGAGTACCACTACCTGCTGGACAAGGCGGCGCTCTGCACCTGCTCGGTGGAGCAGATGTGCCTGGTGGCCGCCTTCTCCGTGTCCTCCTACTCCACCACCGTGCACCGCATCGCCAAGCCCTTCAACCCCATGCTCGGGGAGACCTTCGAGCTGGACCGCCTGGAGGACATGGGCCTGCGCTCGCTCTGCGAGCAGGTGAGGCCCGCTCCCGCCGGGCCTCCTGGCGGGGAGTGGGGAGGTTACCTGGGAAGTGGGCCCCGAAGCCCTCGGTGGACAGGAGCACCTTCCCGTACCGACCACAGGCTCTGCCCTCCCCCCACTTCGCAGCCGAGAGGCTGGGGGACCCCCAGCCCCGGTCTCAGTCACAGGCTGCACCTGCCGCCACGCCCTGGCCTTCCCCTCGGAGCCCAGTCCTTTCTGGGCGTCCGCTGCCCCGGAGGCTCCTGGGCCAGGACCGCTGTGTCCGGCGCGGGGGGCCCGGGCAGACAGGCCTGGGCTGTGTCCCGCACACACTCACGTGTGCGGGTCTGTCTCAGGTGAGCCACCACCCTCCCTCCGCGGCGCACCACGTGTTCTCCAAGAACGGCTGGAGCCTCTGGCAGGAGATCACCATCTCCAGCAAGTTCCGGGGGAAGTACCTGTCCATCATGCCGCTGGGTGAGCGGGCCGGGCAGAGCTTCTGGCCGAGGGGAGGGTTTCCCTGCGACGTCCCTTCCCGTCCCTGTGACTGCGGCTCCCAGGACCCTGGGGTTGTGGGGCTGAGCCATGACCTCTGACCCTGATGCCGCCTCCAGGGGCCATCCACTTAGAGTTCCAGGCCAGTGGGAACCACTACGTGTGGAGGAAAAGCACCTCCACTGTGCACAACATCATCGTGGGCAAGCTCTGGATCGACCAGGTCACTGGGGCGCCCTGGGAGCGGGGCTGGCCGGGCCTGGGGAGCGGCCGCTGACGCTGCCCTCTCCCCCCAGTCGGGGGACATTGAGATCGTGAACTACAAGACCAAGGACCGGTGCCAGCTCAAGTTCCTGCCCTACAGCTACTTCTCCAAAGAGGTGGCCCGGAAGGTCAGCAGGGCCACCTCCCCGTCTGGCGGGCCGGCCCCAGAGGCCTGCGCCCACGCTGACCGCCCCCCCCACCCCCGCGCCCGCAGGTGACGGGCGTGGTGAGCGACGGCCAGGGCAAGGCCCACTACGTGCTGTCGGGCTCGTGGGACGAGCAGATGGAGTACGCCAAGGTCACGCACAGCAGCCCCAGCAGCCCCCGCACGGACGGCAAGCACAAGACCGTGTACCAGACGCTGCCGGCCAAGCCGCTCTGGAGGAAGTACCCGCTGCCGTGAGTGGCACAGGGCACGGGCGGCACGGGGGCACGGGGGCGGCACGGGGGCACAGGGGCGGCACGGGGGCACGAGGGCGGCACGGGGGCACGGGGGCGGCACGGGGGCACGGGGGCGGCACGGGGGCACCACGGGGACACAGGGGCACGAGGGCACGGGGGCGGCACGGGGGCACGAGGGCACGGGGGCGGCACGGGGGCACCACGGGGACACAGGGGCACGAGGGCACGGGGGCGGCACGAGGGCACGGGGGCATGAGGGCGGCACGGGGGCACCACGGGGACACAGGGGCACGAGGGCACGGGGGCGGCACGGGGGCACGAGGGCACGGGGGCGGCACGGGGGCACCACGGGGACACAGGGGCACGGGGGCACGGGGGCGGCACGGGGGCACCACGGGGACACAGGGGCACGAGGGCACGGGGGCGGCACGGGGGCACGGGCGGCACGGGGGCACGGGGGGGGCACGGGGGCACGAGGGCGGCACAGGGACACGGGGACACGGGGGCGGCACGGGGGCGGCACGGGGACACGGGGGCGGCACGGGGACACAGGGGCACGAGGGCACGGGGGCGGCACGGGGGCACGGGGACACGGGGGCGGCACGGGGGCGGCACGGGGGCACGGGGGCGGCACGGGGACACGGGGACACGGGGGCGGCACGGGGGCGGCACGGGGGCACGGGGGCGGCACGGGGACACGAGGGCACGGGGGCGGCACGGGGACACGGGGACACGGGGGCGGCACGGGGGCACGGGGGCGGCACGGGGGCACGGGGGCGGCACGGGGACACGAGGGCACGGGGGCGGCACGGGGACACGGGGGCGGCACGGGGACACGGGGGCACGGGGGCGGCACGGGGGCACGGGGGCACGGGGACACAGGGGCACGAGGGCGGCACGGGGGCACGGGGGCGGCACGGGGACACGAGGGCACGGGGGCGGCACGGGGACACGAGGGCACGGGGGCGGCACGGGGACACGAGGGCACGGGGGCGGCACGGGGGCACGGGGGCACGGGGGCGGCACGGGGACACGAGGGCACGGGGGCGGCACGGGGGCGGCACGGGGACACGGGGGCGGCACGGGGACACGGGGGCACGGGGGCGGCACGGGGACACGAGGGCACGGGGGCGGCACGGGGGCGGCACGGGGACACGGGGGCGGCACGGGGACACGGGGGCACGGGGGCGGCACGAGGGCACGGGGGCACAAGGGCGGCACGGGGGCACGGGGGCGGCACGGGGGCACGGGGGCACGAGGGCGGCACGGGGGCACGGGGGCGGCACGGGGGCACGAGGGCGGCACGGGGACACGGGGGCGGCACGGGGACACGGGGACACGGGGGCGGCGGGCGGCCCAGACAGCGCGGCCAGGGCAGAGTCTGTCCTCCTCTCTCGGCGGCTCTGAGGCCCCTCCCACCGGGTCCTTGGTGCTTCCCTTTCCTTTCCCACGGGAATCGGATTCCGATGAGACCTGTCATCTCGGGGGCCACTCTGGGAATCACACAGCCAGAGGTTACACACATCTGGACCCGCCGGGCCGCCTGAGGGTCTTCAGGAACTTTCCTTCCATTCACGCCTCTGACTGACTTCATCGCAGTTACATTTTGTTTGCATTTTGCACCCCATGTTATTTGTGTGCATTCACTGTCCTCTCAGGGTCAGTGAGTTTGTTTCATGCGTGCATCTTAGATCTGAGATCTTAGATGTTCCATCTGGGACCGGTTTCCTTCTGCCAGAAGCACGACCTTCAGTGCAGCTCTGCTGGCGCTGGGTTCATGTTTTCAGGGTAGTGAAAGGAATGAAGAAAAGAAATAGTGGTACATTTTCTGTTCAGCCGAGCTAGCATCAAATCTGAGGGCATGGCCAGTATGTCCCTGGGGACAGCTGGGCAGGTTTGATGCCCCCAAACCGCAGTGAACAGGTGCTGGGGCAGCACCTTAAAGGGGGAGAAAGCAGTCCAGCGGGTGCTGCAATGTGTCCCCAGACAGCGCGCGGGTGCCCTGTCGTCCAACACAAAATGCAGACGAGTAACCGGGCTGGGGTCTGGGGTGACAGAGAAGGAAGTGAAGGACCAGGTGATGCTCCTGACAGAGATCCAGAACATGATGTGAGAGAGAACTACATCATGGAAACGCTAACCGATCTCTAACGATAAAAGCATCACATGCTAATCAGACCGGACCACCTTCCGGTGACCTTCCGGGTGACTGTCCAGAGCAGCGGACGGAGCAGCTGGGCTTTGCCAGCTCACCGGGCGGCACTGGCTGGGGAGATGGGCGGGGCCTGGGTCCGGGCGCCCGGAGGGGCCCAGGGCAACATGCCGTGCCCTCCTGCCCCCGCAGGGAGAACGCCGAGAACATGTACTACTTCTCGGAGCTGGCCCTGACCCTCAACGAACACGAGGAGGGCGTGGCGCCCACGGACAGCCGGCTGCGGCCGGACCAGCGGCTGATGGAGAAGGGGCAGTGGGACGAGGCCAACACGGAGAAGCAGCGGCTGGAGGAGAAGCAGCGCCTGTCCCGGCGCCGGCGGGCTGAGGCCTGCGCCCGGGGCTGCAGCATGGAGGACGGTGAGGGCTGAGGCGGGCGGGCGGGGAGGGGGAGGGCGATGGTGAGGGCGGCGAGGCGGGAGGGGGGCCTGGGAGCGGGCTCCCTGCGGACACGGGGGAGGCTGCCCGCCCACCGCCCTGTGCCCACCGCCCGCCGTGCCCGCCCTGCAGAGAAGGAGACGGAGGCGCACACGCCGCTGTGGTTCGAGCGGAGGCTGGACCCGCTGACCGGGGAGACGGCCTGCATGTACAAGGGCGGCTACTGGGAGGCCAAGGAGAAGCAGGACTGGCACATGTGCCCCAACATCTTCTGAGCGCCCCCTGCCGGCTCCTACCATCAGGCCTGGCCCCCTCACTGAACACCCTCAATGTAGTGCTTACGGCCCGGCCCCACCTCTTTCTTTCCTTTTTTTTTTTAAACAAAACAATTTGGGGCGCCCACCTGGGGAGGAGGAAGTGCTGATGCGGTTCTCCCGCCCCCTGGGACCGGCTCCCAGTCACACTCAGGCAGCTGCCGCCCCGGACCGGACCGCCACCAGCCCCCTGAGGCCCCGCCTTTTAGAAAAAACCTCCACTCTTTCCAGCCAAGACACTTAGTAGACAGCTGGCAAGAGCCCCTTCTTTCTAAGACAGGAAGCCAGGCAGACCCTAGTCTGGACACTCTGCAGCCCGGAGAGGAGGCCGGGAGGCCGCTGGGCCCCGGGAGCCTGCTGTCTCAGAGCCGTTCGCGGGGGCGGGCACTGCGGCCGGGTGGATCGGAGCGCATTGGCCTCGCCACGCGGGCCAGGCCCCGTCAGCAATAAGAACCAACCCCCCATCAGCCTGGGGGTGCCCCGTCACAGCACCCCTCCTCTTACTGGCCGGATTTATTTATGTAATGTATAAATCTATATAAAATGGCTATTTTGCTTACATTTCCATGGTATCTGGGAGGAGGGGACGATGAAGACGGGGCGCTCCTGTCTGAGTGTGGCCCTCCTGCCGCGGAGCCTGCCCTCTCCTGGACCCCCTGTCCCATCCCTAGCACCCCCCCAACCCCTCCCCCCTACCCCTTCTCCCCCCACCCCTCCCCGCTCGCTGTGGGCCTGCACACTCACCACAGGCCGTTTCTCCTCCGGGACTGGCTTGGTTTTTATAAGGGAAAAAGGTGAAAACACCAACTTGTGAAATGCCTCAGGGTCCCCCCAGGCGGCCAGTGCTGTGGGAGCCCCTCTGACTGGCAATAAACACCTCGGATTGGAGTCTCAGGCCCAGTCTGTCACTGGGTGGAGCAGAGACCTAACAGCCCACAGGCCTGGGGAGGGCGCGGGCTTTGGTCGCCCCCTGAGCAGACAGCAGGAGGGGAAGGGAAGGGAGGGGAGGGGAAGGGAGGGGAGGGGAGGGGAAGGGAGGGGAGGGGAGGGGAGGGGAAGGGAGGGGAGGGGAAGGGAGGGGAGGGGAGGGGAGGGGAGGGGAGGGGAGGGGAGGACAGGACAGGTCGTTTCCTCCACACATAGTGGTTCCCACTGGCCTGGAATTCTAAGTGGATGGCCCCTGGAGGTGGCATCAGGGTCAGAGGTCATGGCTCCCCAGTCCAGACTAGGGGGGGGGAGGGGAGGGGAGAGCAGGGAGGGGAGGACGGGAAGGGGACCTATGGGATGGGGTCCGGAGCAGAGGCTTTTAGGAAGCCCTGTAAGGGCAGAGGCAGCATCCGGGGTTGCTTCACCTGGGATGAGTGGGATGGGTGGGACCAGGCCCCGCAGGGAAGGCCCTCCCCGGTGAGCCACACGGCTGACAACCTGCCCTGGTAGCTTCTGGGGCCCAGGCTGCCAAGCAACCCAGGTCCCTAGGTACGAGGCCGGGCAGCTGGTCGGGCTCAGTGGTCCTCTTCCCAAAGCCAGCGCTGCCGGTGAGGGGACAGGGTGGGGCGGCGCCAAACTCACCACGCCCGACACCCAGGCTGCCCGCGTGGCCTTCCTCCCCGGACCGGGCTTCCCGGGGAGGCCGGTCTGGTGAGGACCAGCCTGGGGTGGGGGCCGCTCTCCCAGGACAGGGCAATGGGGCAGAGGTGGTGGGGAGGCGACCCAGGACGGACCCAATCAGTCAGCACAGCCCGGGTCGGAATTACATCAGTATTTTTTTAAACGTGACAAGCTGGGTGTGAGATGTACGTGGGAGAGCGACTGCACAGACACCGCTAAGGCGATGCTTAACACGAGGGGCCGGGCGGGGGCGGGGGGACTGGGCTGGCAGACACCCAGACGTGCAGGGACCCCCTCCCCAGCTTCCTCTTCCTCCACAGCACCCTGGCACAGCTGGCACCCTGGCACAGCATGAGTGCTGGTGCTGACCGTGAGCTGGAGACAGGAAGTAGCACTGCAGCGCCCAGGGCCTGGCCCAGGGCAGCTGCTCCTCCAGCCGGGAGCCCAGCGGGAGCCGGGCCGAGGCGACACCGGGCAGCAGCTGGGACAGAACCGGGAGACCGAACCCAGGGGCCGGGAAACTCCTGCTTCCCCACAGCAGTAAGCTTCATGGCGGCATCCAAGCCCACAGTGAGGCATCCAAAAGGAGGGGTCCCCAGGAAGCTGTTCCCCCCAAAAACTATGCCTTCAATATAATGGTGAATCCAAAATTAAATATAAGGAAAATTGTTTGTTTTAATAAATGTTAGTCCTAAGCAGAGGAGAAAAAATCCCCTAAGAACATGTAATCAGGAGTGGGCCCGCACTGGGTGTTGCAGCCAGTAAAACCTGCAGCAGAGGACAGAGCTGGTCCCAAACCCTGGGGGCCTCCCCTCTGTTCCAGGCCGGTGGGGCCCCAGGTGTGACGCTGCAAGAAGGAGCAGCCCGCAGTTACTAGGTCTGCACACACACACACACACACACGCACACGCACACGCACACGCACACGCACACGCACGCACACACACGCCGGCCCTGGAAGGCCGCAGCAGCATGAGACAAACTCCCCCGTGTAATGAAACGACCAGACAGTAGAACAAAAGCAGGTTATAAATGAGTCCAGTATTCTACAAACACTACAGCACATCCAGAAATTGGAAAAAATCAATAAAGACAACTATGACAGATTACACAACGACAGAGAGAGAGTGACGTGGATATGAGATCTGAAGAAAGTACCCAGAATGCAACACAGCCACAAAGAGGTAAAAAATGCCAGCAGTTAGAAGCATGAGGCTAAAGTGCGAAGTGCCCAGTGTGTCTCATCGAACGGAGCAGGAGCAGTCTCTGAAGAGTTACCGGCTAACACGTCTGAGAACTCATGAAAAACAGTCACTCCCAGCAGATCCTAATCATGGCAAATAAACAGACACCCACAGCTAGATACAATGCAGTGAAATTGCAAGGCCCTTAAACACCAAAATGCCAAAATCTCACAAGCAGCCAGATGAGGGAGGGGAAAGATGACCTTCACAGAGCAGCAAGCTGAGCGCTGACCCCCGAGGAGAGGAGACAAAGTAGTGACATCTCCCATCGGAGGAGATGTCAGCAGCACCAGTGAGATCCCTCTCTGGAGCCAAAGGGAAGCAAAGACAACAAAAACGTAGGAAAACAAGAGTCTGTGTTAACTGTTATGTAAACCATCACACAGTCATCACCAAAGGATAACACTAAATTTCAAAAAAACGGGAAAAACACTGTGAGGGAGAAAACGTGTATCTAAAAGAAGGCAGGAAAGGCCAGGACCGGTTTGGCTCAGTGGATAGAGTGTCGGTCTGCGAACTGAAAGGTCCCAGGTTCGATTCCGGTCAAGGGCATGTGCCTTGGTTGCAGGCACATCCCCGGTAGGGGGTGTGCAAGAGGCGGCTGATCGATGATTCTCTCTCATCGATGTTTCTAACTCTCTATCCCTCTCTCTTCCTCTCTGTGAAAAATCAATAAAATATATATATTTTTAAAAAATAATAATAAAATAAAAGAAGGCAGGAAAGGAGTGGAAAAGGAATGCACATAAAGTGGATTAAACATTACAAAATAAGAGGATAGCAATAAGTCAATAACAATGCATCAATCATCACACAAAATATATGTGCTCCAAGTAAAAACAATATAAGGAGTAAAAACATAATCCAGCTATATGCTGTTTGCAAGGACACACCTAAACCATAAATGCAAGCACAGGGGGAGATTCCGCAGGTCTCAGGTCCAGACCAGATCGACAGAACAAGTATCCCACAGAGGGAATCACACAGGTTTTGGGTTCTCGGCGCCTATAAAGGTTGTTCACACTGTACTGCCGACTACTAAGAGCCTTCCATCTAGAAAATGTACACATCTCTAAAAAACACTCTCTTGCTAAAAACTGCTAAGTGTCATCTGAGCCTTCAGCTAGTGTCATCTTTTTCTGGAGGAGGGTCTTGCCTCCACGTTGATGAAAAGGCGGTTCTGTGAAGTGCGATAAGGCCAAGTGTAAGAAAACGAGGTACAGGTGCCTGCCTGTGTACAGACAAGACTTCAAGGCAAAACACAGCACTAGATGCCAATTCCCAGAAAGAAAAGCAGTCCCTTTATAACGATCAAAAGTAAAATTCATAAAGCTCTCAAACTCTGAGGCACTCAATAGCACCTCCATGTGGTGGGAAGTGGACGGTCACAGGAGAAACAGGTGAATCCACAACTCCAGCGGGAGATTGTAACGTCTCTCCCCCAGCAACGAGAGCTCAGAGACAAAAATGTCAGCAAGCTTTCAAACAACACAACAAGTTTGACATTATGAGAACAGCGTGACACCTACCTGCAGAGCATGTTTTTTAAACACACGTGGAGTGTTGGTGAATATTAGTCGCATATTTGGGCTGGTCATAGAGCTTCAGCAAAATTTAAAGCACTAAACAGACCGCATTCTCAGAACACAATGCAGACATTTTAAAATCAGTAACATATAGATAACACATGTATCAAAGAAGAAAACAAATCAGAAAATACAATTAAAAATTAAGCCCAGCTGGTGTGGCTCGGTGGGTTGAGCATCATCAGGAGGCCACCAGTTCAATTCCTGGTCAGGGCACACCCCCACTAGGGGGAGAGCAGGAGGCAGCCGATAGATGTTTCTCCCGTATCTCCCTCTCCCTCCCTCTTTTTAAAATCAATAAAAACATATTCTTAAAAAAATTAAAATACATATAGCAAAACTTGTAAGATATGAGTACTTAGAGGGAAAATTATAGCACTAAAAGCTCACATTGTAAAAGAAGAAAGGCTTAAAAAATAACGAGCTAAACATCTACTTTGAGTAAGAAAATAAACATCAGGATAAATTCAAAGGGAGGACAAGAAAGGAAATAAAAATCAGAAGTTAATAAATGAGAAAACAAACATAATAGAGAAAACCAAGAAAGCTGAGGTTGATTCTTATAAAAAACTAAAATTGACCAACTTTATTGATCAGCAAGATAGAGAAGGAGGAGGAAGAGAAGAGGGAGGAAATGAATGAACCAAAAAACAGTGTCTGGAATGAAAAGAGGAAATTAATACAGATGCTGCCAACATTTTAAAATGAAGATATTATGAACAACTTTGTGACAACCTTATTTGAAAACTGAGACAAAAATCCTAGAACTAATGTAACTTAAAACTGACCAAAAAAACAAACAAACAAAAACACACACACACACACACACACACACAGAAAAACCTATACAAAATTATAAACATTTTTAAAATTTAAACCAGTGAAAAATCTTCCCTCACACATATGCACACAAAACTCCAGACACTGATTACCAAGAAATAACCAATCTTACAGAAACTATTAAACCCTCTGGCCTAACAAGGTTTACCTTGGATACAGAAGAGGTGGCACACATGTACAATGGCACATTACTCAGCCGTAAAGAAAAGAATGAAATCTTACCATTTGAGACATGGATGAACTTAGAAGGTCTTAAGCTAAGTGAAATAAGTCAGTCAGAGGA